GCATTATTATTATTATTTGATTGGTTAGTTGTTTTTTTTGTTTGTTTTGTTTTGTTTTTGCTATAAGCCACATGAGCTCTTCAGAGAGACGGAGATCGGAGATCGAGATCGGAGATCGGGAAATTGAGAAATCACCCCCAGGGGGTGGAGATCGAGATCGAGATCGGGAAATTGAGAAATCACCCCCCAGGGGGTGGCCATGCTGCAATACCCTTCTCCATTCTCCTCTGAGGATCTTGCCATGTACATGTACCTGTTGTGATTTTCAAGCCAGTGGGTCCAGGACTCAGACCACACAGTTGGCCACGTGGGTGGGATCCAACCACTGTAACCTCTGTACCACCTGGGTTAGCCGTGTTCTCTTTTTAAATTATGTATTGAATTTTATTTATTCATTTATTATTTTATTTAATTTGACCAGAGAGAGCGAGAAAGGGAAAGTGAGAAAGCAAGCACCAGGTCCAGGACTTGAACCACAGTCAGCCATGTGGGAATCCAGCCCCTTAAGCACCACATGAACTGCTGGCCCCTATTTTTTTCTTTTGCTATGCAAAAATACATCACAACTTTTCCACAATAGTTATTCCGCAAGTTAGAAATAAACAGAATTGTTTTTTCTCACAGATGACATAATTATATTTATAGAAAGCAAAGGCAACATAATGGAGGAAAGAATCTGGCTTGATACCTTTTGTTTGATCATTGGTTTCTGATGGTTGCACATGTATTTTTTCCAGGGAGTAAGAAGTGCTGTGATTGATACTTTGTGTGTAATAGCTAATGGAGCTTCAGGTCTCTGGAATAAGTATCTGTGATATTATCCTTTTCAGAGATGAAGAAACGTGAAACAAAAACAGATCAAAAGACGCATCCAGGCACTTCCCAGTAAGTAACTAAATCAGAATTGGAATCCATTTTGCCTGGCTGTAAAGATGAATCTCTTCACTACAGCACTGCAGCCATAATGCTAGTCATTTCTGTCCTTTGCCCACTCAGTATCTATACTTTTTTTTTTTTGGAGAGATTTTCACTGCAGGGCACGTGCGCTCGCCAGACAGACAGAGAGAGACATAGAGACAGAAAGCGAGAAATCACCCCCCAGGGGGGATGGTCACGCCGCAATCCCTTCTCCTCCATTCTCCTCTCGGGATCTTGGGCACGCACGCACACGCACCCTGCGTGAGTTTTAAGCGCACGCACACGCGCCCGGCGTGATTTTGAAGCCACGAGGTCTGGGACTCGAACTGTAGTCCACTACATGGGAGTCCAGCAACATAACTATTATGCCATCTGCTGGTCTCAGAGACTTTTTTCTTTTTTACACAGTCCCTTCTGCGTTCTTCTCTTAGGACTTGGGACACGCACACACAGGCACCCAGGAGGATGTTCAAGCCACTGGGTCCAAGGCTTGAACTGCTGCCAACCATGTGGGAATCCAGTGCCTTATTTACCATCCCCTGCTGGCACCCACACCACTCCCAGCGGGGATGGCCACACCGCAATACCTTATCCTCCATTCTCCTCTCGGGATCTTGGGCATGCATGCACACGCGCCCGGCGTGAGTTTAAGCCACCGGGTCCGGGACTCAAACCGTTGTCAACTACTTGAGAGTCCAGCAACGTAACCATGACACCACCTGCTGGTCCGATACACCACAATCTTTCATCCTCTAGTTCTCTATTCTCATCAGGGTCTTGGGCGCACACACGCCCACCATGTTTCAAGCTGCCAGGGTTGGGACTCGAACCCTGGTTGGCCATATGGGATTCAGTTTTCTCTGCTTAGTGCTTGACCAGTGTGCTACAGGGCATGCCTAGCCTGGTCTCTCTTTTTTTTTTTTTTTAATTATTTCATTGGAACCAGCAGTTAGCGTAATGGCTATGTCACTGGACTCCCACGTAGTCGACCGCGGTTCATGTCCTGAACCCGATGGCTAAAAACTCACACCAGGCGCATGTGCGTGCGTGCCCAAGATCCCGAGAGGAGAATGGAGGAGAAGGGATTGCGGCGTGGCCATCCCCCCTGGGGGGTGATTTCTTGCTTTCTGTCTCTCTGTCTCTCTCTATCTGGTGAGCGCACCCACCCTATAGCAAAAACCTCTCCAAAAAAAAATATTTTATTTAACTTTATTAATTTATTTTTAATTTGACCAGAGAAGGACAAAGAGAGAGAGAGGGAAAGTGAGAAAGCAAGCCACCAGGTCTGGGACTCAAACCACAGTTAGCCACGTGGGAGTCCAGCACCCTTAACCACCGCGCCACCTGCTGGTCCTCCAGCCTGGTCTTTTGCCCATGGGGGAAAATGGGGCTTGGAGGTAGCAGTCATTTGCTGAATGCCACACCGGAGAATGTAGCAGAACCAGAATCTGGGTCTGTGACTTTGATACCAGGACATACCCATGGCCCCAACACGGGAGTCTGTTTCATCAGAGCACACCCCAGGCCCCCACCCCCACTCCCCAGCTTCAGTTCCTGGGGGGTTCCCAAAGGGCATAAGAAAGACTCTGGAGGGACCAGCAGTTGGCATAATGGCTATGTTGCTGGACTCCCATGTAGTCACCTGCGGTTCGAGTCCCGGACCGGTGGCTTAAACTCACGCTGGGCGCGTGTGTGTGCGTGCCCAAGATCCCGAGAAGAGAATGGAGGAGAAGGGATTGCAGCATGGCCATCCCTCCTGGGGGGGTGATTTCTTGCTTTCTGTCTCTCTGTCTCTCTCTCTCTGTCTGGTGAGGGCACGCACCATATAGCAAAAAAAGAAAGAAAGAAAGACTCTGGAAAGAATTCAACCCCTGGGCTTATTTTTAGAGGCAGAGGTATCCATTTCTGCAAAACATGGGTGCCTCACCCGACCTGGCCCTGGGAGGACCCACCAGCTGCTCCAAAAGATTAATTGTCAGCGGCCATGTTTTAAATAGATACCCAGGAGAGAAGGGAGCACTCGGTTCATACCCTAAGACCTCGGTTCTTGTAGAAACAGGACAGCCTTAAGGGAGAGGAGAAGATGCGCTTTGGGCTTATCACTCCAGACTGACTTTGAAAGAGAGGAATTTGAGACCAGCAGATGGCATAATGGTTACTTGGCTGGACTCCCAAGTGGTTGACCATGGTTCGAGTCCTGAACCTGGCAGTTTGAAACTCATGCTGGGCACGTGTGTGTGTGTGTGTGTGTGTGTGTGTGTGTGTGCATGCGCCCAGGAAAATAGAGGAGAAGGGATTGTGTCGTCGCCTTCCCCCCTGGAGGTGAGAACCCTGGAGGTGATTTCTCACTTTCTATCTTTCTCTGTCTCTGGTGAGCACCCATACCCTATACCAAAAAAGCTCTCTTAAAAAGTTCGGGGGGGGGGGGGGGGCACGGGACCAGCAGTTAGCATAATGGCTACGTCACTGGACTCCCATGTAGTCTACCACAGTTCCAGTGCCAGATCCTACGGCTTAAACTCACGCCGGGCGCGTGTGCGTGCGTGCCCAAGATCCCGAGAGGAGAATGGAGGAGAAGGGAGTGCGGCCACATGTGGCTCACTGCATGGTTCAAGTCCTGAACCTGGCAGCCTGAAAATCATGCCAGGCACATATGCATGCGTGTCCAAAACCCTAAGAGGAGAATGGAGAGAAAGGATTGTGGCATGGTCATCTCTCTGGGGCTGATTTCTCAATTTCCCCCTCTTTGTCTCTTTCCATCAAGCGCATGTGCCTATAGTAAAATTTATTTATTTACAGACTCTTTATTTTTTTATTTTTAATGAGGCTTGAGTTGCTGACCCAAGAGACAGAGACAGAAAGCAAGAAATCACCCCCCAGGGGGGATGACCACGCCACAATCCCTTCTCCTCCTCCCAGGCCACCCTCACTTCTGACCAGCTTACCACAAATTAAGGGACTCTACAACCCTCACATATTGGAATTCTGCTTGAACAGCTCACAGATCTCAAGAAAGTGCTCTACTTATATTTTATTTTTAAAATATTTATCTATTTTTATTTTTTGAGAGTTTTTTTGCTATAGGGCAAAAGACAGAGAGAGACAGGCACAGAAAGCGAGAAATCACCCTCTGAGGGGGGATGTCCACACCACAATCCCTTCTCCTCCATACTCCTCTCGGGATCTTGGCCACACATGCACATGCACCCGCATGAGTTTAAGCCACCGGGTCCAGGAGTTGAACCGTGGTTGACTACATAGGAGTCATAGCCATTACGCTAACTGCTGGTCCCCTCTCTCTCTTTTTTTTTAAGTAATTATTTTATTAAATTTTATTTATTTTTATGTATTTATTTTAATTTGACCAGAGAGGAACATAGAGAGAGAAAGTGAAAAAGCAGGCTGCCAGGTCCAAGACTCCAACTGCAGTCAGCCACGTGGGAATCCAGAGCTCTTAACCACCACGCCACCTACTGGCCCCTAAATTTCAGCTTCGCTTAAATGCTTCCTCCAGTGCAAGACCTGGGAGTGCTTGCTCAGTGTGAGCTGACCTCCTCCTGTTTACCTCTCTGAGCATATAGGAAAGATGTATAGTTCATGGGACCAGCAGTTGTCGTAATGGCTATGTCGCTGGACTCCCACGTAGTCGACCACGGTTCGAGTCCCGGACCTGGTGACTTAAACTCACGCCGGGCGCGTGTGCGTGTGTGCCCAAGATCCCGAGAGGAGAATGGAGGAGAAGGGATTGCAGTGTGGCTATCCCCCTGGGTGGTGCTTTCTCACTTTCTGTCTCTCTGTCTTTCTCTGTGTTTCTGGCATGCACACACGCCCTACAGCCAAAACCTCTCATAAAATTAAATTAAATTAAAAAAGATCTGTAGCTCAGCCCTGTATTTTTTCCCGTGCAACCTCGGACACACGCACAACCTCTCTGAACCTTGCTTCTTTCTTGAAACATTGCCGGCCGCATGGCATGAAGTGAGTACACTGATGAAGGCAGCCGAATTAAGCCGGAGGGTGTGGGTGCGAAGCACGCCCTTGGCACCCCGGTGATGGTGGGGGGATCCTCTCCTACCTCTTAGGAGCCGTTGAGCTATCCCGGCGTCACCCCGTGGCTTCCTGGCTCTGTGCCATGCTGCACTGTTTTGGGAGTTACATCCTGGCCGACCTGCTCCTTGGGGAGCCTGTGATCGACTATTTCAGCAACAACTCCAGCGTCCTGCTGGCCTCAGCTGTCTGGTAAGCGATGCCAGGCGTGGGAAGGCACAGCCAGAGACAGGGAGGACTCAGGCACCAGGGAGGAGGGAGGCAGGAGGTTGAAAGAGCTTGCACCAGCCCAGCCTCCGTGGTGGCCCCGGAAACACCACCCTCCACGCCCAGCTCGGGCCTGAGTCTGGCACCTTGGGCACGGGGAGGTCTGGCCCGACGTCGCTTCCCACAATGCCCCTCTCTTAATGCTCCCCGTGTCCATCCCGAAGGTACTTGATTTTCTTCTGCCCCCTGGACCTCTTCTACAAGTGCGTCTGCTTCCTGCCCGTGAAGCTCATCTTCGTGGCGATGAAGGAGGTGGTGAGAGTCCGCAAGATCGCCGTGGGCATCCACCACGCACACCACCACTACCACCATGGGTGGTTCGTCATGATCGCCACGGGGTGGGTCAAAGGTAAACAGGACAAGGGACCAGCAGTTAGCGTCATGGCTATGTCGCTGGACTCCCATGTAGTCGACCATGGTTCGTGTCCCGGACCTGGTGGCTTAAACTCACGCCGGGCGCGTGTGCGTGCGTGCCCAAGATCCCGAGAGGAGAATGGAGGAGAAGGGATTGCGGCGTGGCCATCCCCCCTGGGGGTGATTTCTCGCTTTCTGTCTTTCTCTCTGTCTGTCTGGTGAGCACACACGCCCTATAGCAAAAACCTCTCAAAAAAAAAAAAAAAAGAAAAGAGAAAAAGAAAACAAGCCACCAGGTCCAGGGCCGGCCCTGTGGGAGTCCAGTGCCCCACCACGCCACCTGCTGGCCTGACCACGAGGTTTCTGTCTGTTTCTCCTTACTTTCTCTGCAGGAAGCAATTTACTGTACTGCAGAGCTAAGTCCCCAGGGTATATAGCATGTCTCTCAGAAGGTGCACAGGTTCAGAAAGACAGAGAACACAGAGCCCTGAGAAGGAAAGAGACTGGGGGTGTGGGTGCCTCAGAACCCTCATAAACAGGTCAGGGTTCCGGATTGGGCATCCCAGCACAGACCACGAAAACCTGCCTTGCCCAGAGAGGGGACATAACCATGATTCCTGTCGCTGCCCTTTCTCCATCCAGATGGACTCTGTGATCCTCCGCAGGGCTCAACCCTCTGGGAATCTTCATTTTCCAATTGGCAACTGACAGTCACAAACTCACCCTTGGGCTCCGTGTCTCCATAGAGAAAACGCCAGAGCAGAATGTCTGTTTCCTTGGGAATTCAGCCAAGAAAAAGAGGGGGCCAGCAGGTGGCATGGTGGTAAAGGCACTAGACTCCCCTATGAGCCCCCCGTGGTTTACGGGCTGGACCCAGTGGCTCGAAACTCACACTGGGCTCCTGTGTGTGCATACCCAAAATCTCAAGAGGAGAATGAAGGAGAAGGAATTATGGTGTGGCCATGCTCTCTAGTGGGTGATTTCTCGCGTTCTGTCTCTGTCTCTCTGGTGCACGCATGTGCCCCATAGCAAACATCTCTCCAAAAAGCAAAGAGGATCCAGCAGTTGACATCATGGCTATGTCGCTGGACTCCCATGTAGTCGACCGCGGTTCAAGTCCCGGAGCCGGTGGCTTAAACTCACACCAGGCACGTGTGCGTGCGTGCCCAAGGTCCCGAGAGGAGAATGGAGGAGAAGGGATTGCGGCGTGGCCATCCCCCCTGGGGGGTGATTTCTCGCTCTCTGCCTCTCTGTCTCTCTCTGTCTTTCTGGCGAGCGCACGCGCCCTATAGCAAAGACCTCTCCAAAAAAATAATAAATGAAAGAAAAAAGGAGGAGAGGAGGGGAGGGGACTGGGGCGGTGGGTTGTTCAAGCCGCCCTGTCTTCTAGGTTCTGGTGTTGCCCTCATGTCCAACTTTGAGCAGCTGCTCAGAGGGGTCTGGAAGCCGGAGACCAACGAGATCCTACACATGTCCTTGTAAGTATGGCACCTGCCCTCCCCTTCCTGTGGACACAGTTTCCTGACCGTGGGTTGGACGTGGTTGATAACTTGGAGGGGCCTCGGTCCCTGACTCTGTCTTTCAGAAGCTTCAAGAGGCTATAGGTGGGGAAACCCAGATTAGGGATTATGGTCTGCATGGGGATTGGCGGGCAGAGCTGCAGGGAGGAGGTGATATGTGATTTGGGTTTTGAAGGGTGAGTAGGAGTTTTCTGGTTAAGAAGGAGCTTCTGGATGGAGGCCAACACTTCTTTTGTTGTTGTTGGAGAGGTTTTTGTTATAGGGCATGTGCACTCGCCAGAGAGAGACAGAGAGTCAGAAAGCGAGAAACCACCCCCTGGGGGGATGGCCACACCGCAATCCCTTCTCCTCCATTCTCCTCTCAGGATCTTGGGCATGCACGCACACGCGCCCGGTGCGAGTTTAAGCCACCAGGTCTGGGACATGGGACTCGAACCACGGTCAACTACATGGGAGTCCAGCGACATAGCCATTACGCTGACAGCTGGTCCCTTATCATTCCCTTTAATTTGACCAAAGAAAGGGAAAGGGAGAAAGCAAATCACCAGGCCCAGGACTTGAACTGTGGTCGGCCCTGTGGGAGTCCAGCACCTTAACCACCACGCCACCTACTGGCTCATAGATGGTTTGGTTTTGTTTTTAAAGAATTATTTCATTTGACTTTTTATTTATTTGTTTGTTTTGAATTTGACCAGAGAGGGACAGAGAAAGAGAGACAGAGAAAGTGAGAAAGCAAGCTACCAGATACAAGACTTGAACCATGGTCAGCCATGTGGGAGTCCAGAACCTTAACCACCATGCCACCGGCCAGCCCATAGCCTCATAGATTGTTAAAAGACCTTTCAGGCTTGGGCTAGTCAAATTTTGTTCCAATCTACAATTAGTAAAGCTGTAGCCAGGAAAATAAAACAAAATTAAAAGGCTCACTCCTATGCTATTGATAATCACCTCCCTGGGCCAGGAGGTGGTACACAGGTTAAGGTGACTGGATCCTGCATGGCCAGCTGTGTGGTTCGAGTCCCAGACCCGGCAACTTGAAAAACATACCAGGCTGGGGCTAGCAGGTGGTTTGGTGGTTAAAGCACTGGATTCCCACATGGCCAACTATGGTTCAAGACCTAGACTTGGCACCTTGCTTTCTCGTTTTCCCTCCCTTTGTCTCTCTCTGGTGAACCCATGCGCCCTAAAGCAAAATTTAAAAATATAATAATAATAAGTAAAATTAAATAAACAATTCTAAGCAAAAAGAAAAACATATCAGGCATGTTTGCGTGCATGCCCAAAATCGGGGGTGATTTCTCACTTTCCCCTCCCTCGCTCTCGCTCTCTCTCCAGCAAGCACACATGCCCTATAGCAAAAAAGAAAAAAAAGAAAAAGAAAATCACCTCCCATCTCACACTTTAAAAAACACCGTGCTGGGACCAGCAGTTGGCATAATGGCTGTGTCGCTGGACTCCCATGTAGT